CCTTCGCTCAAGCGAGAGAAGTCGAACTCCATTCTACTTTTACTACATTCTTCAATGCGAATTCTTGTCCACTTTACACGTTACACATTTCTGTGAGGCTAAATTCTCCACCTACTAAAAATCCCCCTCAGATGAACTTGAAGAATGTGTTTCTTATTTCACCTCCTGACCACCTGGACGATACGGGTCACCGAGGTCCGGCTACTTTGATTCGTGGAATTATTCCGATTCGACTTCAGAGGGTTATTTCTGACCGAGGACTAAAGTATGTCATCGATTTGCAGGCCCGGAGGTTGATGTTTAGTCTGTGTGCGTGTGTGGAAAGACTACGACTACAGGAGCCATAGTTTGCCGGGAGCTTGCTTACTGTTGGAATACTGTTTAGTTTAGTTTTAGTAAGAGTTTTACAGCACTTGCAACACAAATAGGTTTTTATGTAAGTGTCAAACGTTCGGGGTTTTGATAGAGAGTAATGTTCGAAGAAAAGGAATAGGAGAGATAAGGACGATAGCTGTTTGATTTTTAAAAAGGAGGAGTAAGCCACACCCGAGCACCCGCCAACCACACACGGACTGAAATTCAAGACTGCTGTTGCTTGTCAGTGGATCATAGTAAAAGATGAATAATTTTTGTTGTTTTTTATTTTTGTTCAGAGTTTTCTTGTTTTGGTGTTTATCAGTTAGCTGTTTGGTCGATTTGGTAAGTCTGTGACTTTGTTGTTTATTAGCGTCTTTGTTGTTGCTGCTCTAGCAGCAGGTGTGTTTTTTATCTTTGATATATTTTGTTGCAGAGGTTGCTCTTTTCTGCCGTTCTATTTTTTAACATCTGCAATGCTGTGTAGACGGGACGTGTTGTCCCAAACTAATTCACTGCTATATATTTTTGCTGTTTTATAGAGGATATTTCTAAACACATATTTGCAACTTGTGCAGTTTCTTTTTTTTAATAAGGGGAACGGTATCGTATTGTGGCTTTGTTTAAATCTTTCTTAATTAAATGAACATAAATTTCATCTTGTCTGTACAAATGTAAATGGTAACCCTTCAGCACAGAAGGGGTTAAATTGCTTTGTGAATGTATTTTTGGGTATTTGTGTGTGTCTATTTTTGTGTTCCTTTTTTCCCGTTTCAGGAAGCATGCTGTTTGATGACTTATTTTAGACTCTGTGGTGCCTCTGCATGCGTAATTATCATGATAATCCTAACAAATCAAGGACATTAAAACCGTTTATGATAATAATTATGATAATAGTGATAAATGTATTACGTGCAACAAAAACAATGATGATAATAATGATGATGATACTACTACTACCACTACTACTACCACTACTACTACTACTACTACTACTACTACCACTACTACTACCACTACTACTACTACTACTACTACTACTACTAC